GGGGGGGGGGGGGCAGCGGGTTTCTGCCGGGGGGCTTCTCTGAGCCCGGCGTCGTTCTGCATCTATTGTTTAACTGAAGGGAATGTTGAAAGAGTTTCGGTTGCCTAATAACTGGTTGTCCTGTTTCACCAGCCTCGGTAATTCAGTTCAGATTTCGGTGACGATGGATGGTCTCTGGGTGATTCACTCGCCGACACGAACGCTGAAGGAGCTTCATTCTCTCCTCGCTGCCTCTGAAGTGAAACCTTCCTGATGTGAACGTGCGTGAGTTTCAGAATGTAATTACATTCAACAAAGTCGGAAAAAAAAAAACATTCATATCCTCCCACGTTAATTTAGCACGTTTGTTCTGTCACTAGTTTAAAAGCTGAGTAAGCACCTCGCTACGCTACGATTGGACAGCTGCTGAACAGGGGAGGGGTTAAGAGATGGTCAGTTAGAAGTCTCGTGTTAGGCTACATCCATACCACGAGGTTTTCAAACTAAAGTGATCTCCCTCCATACTAGGGGCCCTAGTATATATTTTCCAATTTGTGTGTGAGGAGGCGAATAAAACATTTGCTTCCTGTGACGAGCTAGCTAACATGAGCTAACATTAGTTTACTAACAAGTTCAAGTTAACTTAAAGATAAATGAAGCGCAGATGTGTCGAGTTTCCACTGCCTCCCGGTGGCCAAAAATTATATTGCAGGTTTAATAATTTTGTTTCACACTTTTTGTAATTTCAAAAGCTTCGAAGTTTTAAAACTAAAAGGCTGTGACCAGCAGCGCTTCTGAGCTCCTGACGAGAACGTCCGTCCAACCATGATGACTGAGTCGAGCGTCTTTCAGCGGATTTGCTTTCGGAAGGTTTTTCTTCACAGCAGGAAAAGAGAACAGAAACTCTTTCAACGTACGTATCGATGAAGACGGAGTGAGTCCTGGCCGACGTCTTCACACCTTCATCGCTGCGTTCGCTCGAGAGGCTTTTGGTTTCTCTAACTATTCTCAGTTTTCTGTGGGAGTTTTTTTTACTTGTGAGAGATTCTACCTGTGGTGTGACT